TCTACATATACATAAAATATATGTTTAATACATTATTATATACATATATATTTCATTACACAAGAATATCACTGTCACACGAATGTTGTTTTATAACACACGTGTGTGAGCACACACACACACACAGATGCAGGTGGGCATCTTCACGTGAATACAGAGACCATCAGAAATTGAGTCTGAATGTAAAACAGATACTAGGCACCAACCTATTCCTCTCCATTTTGCTAAGTCAAGTCTTCCTTTATCATCCATACCATACTCCTCAAAAATTGGTGGTATAGGTTCTTTTTTAGATAAAACCAAAATCAAGCCCTATTTGATTCACATTTAGGATTCAGAAACTGACTCTAAATAAACATTTCATGTAAAAAAAACAACTCTGGAATTTTTAAGTCTTTATCCAGTCTACCTCTCCCAATTCATCCTTACTTTTCAGAGATATTGTTCAACCTATATCAAAACATGGTTTTAATTACATTTAAAACAAACTTTTTTCCAGAAGAAACCAACAATATTAAAGTAACACAGGTGGAAATCCCAGAAATTGCATGGCTGCCTTAATAACTCCAAAGAAAACATTTATTTTAGCCAAACAATTGTAATGTTTGTCTCCTTTTTAGAAATATCTGCTGCCAAAATAAACATTTACATTGGAAGAAGTGTTTTGGCTGTTAAGATGGTACCAAATAAAATGCTTATGTTCTGAAATAAGTATTTTAATCAAAAAACATGTAGCAAAACAGACATACACCAAAGGGTGCAAAAGATACACTGAAGATACAAATTAGAATACCTATTACTTTTTAAAGTAATTACCTCCTCAAGAGAACCTGTTCTTAATTCAGTTTTTGCTTAGATTTAAAATAAGTTTAGATGGATCACCTTAACAAAAATAATTAATTTCTATTAATTTTGCCACTTTATCTTTCAAAACAAAGATCATTTTCCATGCTATTGTTGTAAAGGTCTTCAGGATATAGATGTCTTTAAAAACTAAAAATGTAGTGTTTTTCTATTATAAAAGCACTCATGAACTTAAATCTCATTTTGTTGTCTTTCTTTTTCACCAGTTTTATAATTCCAACAGGCATCATATTATCGAACATCTGCAACAAGGTAAGAATAGTTAAAATATCAACCCAATTACCCAAAAAACTCAGGAAAAATCTCAGATTACATAATTGAAATCTGCTTGATATAAATAAATACTTAGCTTCATAGCCTATTTCTCCTGGGTACTATTTATTTTATATGAAAATCTTTTTAAAGTTGGCAAAGGTCTGTGTGTACATTTATGATCACAGTAGACAAGAATAATAAAACAAAATCTTTGTTCCCCCATGTTTCTGAGCAAAGAATACTTTGGTGTCTTTAAGTTTAAAAAAAATCTGAGAAACTCAAAAAAAGTCAGATTCTAGCAACCTTGAAAATTACATGTCTTCTGTGTAGCTCTCTATTAGATGAAATCAACCAGTGTACTTCTGTTAACCATCCACAGGTTTAAATTCCAGGAGCCTGGAGGCAGAACATTCTCCACAGAGGCATAGAAAATTAATTTCCCCTCTCAACTCAATGAAAAACCCAAGTAGACTAGTTTTTAGGGCACCATATAAAACTAATCTCTTTAGCCATGTATTGCCTGATGATGTGGTAGAATCAGCAAATGAAAGACCACAATCTAGTCCCAGTTAATAAAGACTAAAATGATGTACTATTATCACATCATGCTTCAAAGACCCAGTCATGAATATATTTTAAAAATAAAATTACCACCATATACATAAAGAATCACGAGGTTAACACTAAAATCAAACACTCAGTGGTCAATTCCTCCTGACACTCAGAGACAAAAAATAAACAGTGATACTATCCATGTTAAATTTCATATAAGCACTGCAGTTCTTTCTAACAAAATACTCATTTAAAATTCATATCACAGGAGTGGAATGCCAGCCAGGAATCAAACTGTGACCCCTGAGCCAAAGACAACTTACCACTAAGCTGGTAAGTGGGCAACTCAATTTACAAACTTGAATTCCTGCATTTTAATCCTTTGCAGAAATATATGAGCAATATTAAATGAACTGGATTCAGCTCATTAGAGGTTCACAAACCAAACACAGAAAGCTTTGGAAGCCATCCAAAGCAAAGTAATGCCTAGGTGGTGATGTCCACTCAATAAATATTCAATGTCATAATTACCTTTCAACTTTTTCCCTGAAGAACATAATTAGCCACAACTACAACAATGCTCAGCCAATTACATTAATCCTAGGAGAAGATGGATAGGACTAACAGCCAATCACCGCAGTGCCAGAACCTTGTTTGTGAACAAATTTATAAGTATCCAAAATTTGCAAACAAAGAAACTCACTGAAAATTCCTCACCAAACAACACAGACTAAAGCTAACAAAATAAATGTATGTGCTCTAATAACCTTTGCTTAAAACCTTCATTTTTTTCATTTCAAAATTATTAAGAACTGTTCACATGACCTTGCCATCATAAAGCATGTCTCCTTTAAAATGTTATATACATTCAAAACTGCATTCACAGCTATTTGTAGCCTTTTAAATTTCAAAACAAGATACTGTATTTCAAGGTTATATTGCAACTAAATGAAAGGGTGAAAAAACAATACAGATTATTTAGACCCTTGACTTTTGAGTAACTCAAAATGAAAGGCTGACAATCCTGTAGCCAGGATATTCAGTTTCATACCAGATACACTATTTTCCTTTCATTATCAGAAAGATCTGTGCTTAATTAGAATTGGGCATTTCTTTTAGTTAGCAGTAAAATACCTAATCTAAAATCTTAATTAAAAGTTTGCTGAAATACTTGATGGGCAATCTACATCAATTTGTCCCTTCAAATAAAGCTAAGAGTTATTGGATTTCAAAAGTATACGAGAGCCAAAGGGATTAAATAAAACCAAAAAGCTAACAAAATTGAGATCACTCTATGTATCTGTACATGTCCTCTACTTTTAGCCTTACACATTTGCGGAAGAAAATAATGAAAAAAAAATTCCTAGGTAAGGATTCTTCACACACTCTTTCCTTTTGTTTGGCTCCCATTTTGGGACTGCAGATGAAGCCAACATCTAAAACTTCTAGTAAGAATTTAACTCATTCAGATAAAGCGATAAAGGAGTTTGCTATGAACAGCACCTTTTGAGAATGACTTTCCATCCTCATATCAGGCAAACATGGTGAAAGGCAAGGTGCGGGAACAGAGAGTGGCGAGCACCTCCCAACCTCATCCCACTTCTTACTACGCGCTCTCTACCTGGCTCTCTTCCGGCGGCCAGGGCACCATACAGAACTAATTAGCCCCCCAGTAAAGTCAGCCATAGAGTGCAACTCGGACTTCACCAGCTGGCTGCCTGGGCCTTTTTCCCCTCAACTAAGGGCAAAGTAGCTCTAAAACCAAAACAAGTGGCAGAAAGAGAGGAAAAAAGTCACCACTCTCACCTTACTTTTCATCATTTACAAGTTAGCTTGCCGCTCACAATTAGCAGCCTCAACTAAAGATTTTTACTCTAGGCAGCAAAATATTGCTGGAAGAAAGGAATAATGTGGGAAAAAAATTAAGAGTACCATTAAGTATGAAACTGATTGCTACAATTCTGAGGGGTTAATCCTCAATAATTGAGGGGTGAGATCTTCAGACATCATCAAAGTCCATTTAAGGAATCAACAGTTTGGATTCAAAGCCTAAGCTACTTCTACCTTCCCCGACAACTGCCTTAATATAAAAATAACACCCAAGCAGGAGCAAAGAGAAAGAGGAAAGACAACATAGACTTATACAATATTAGAGTTGCAATAAATTTCAATAAAAAATTAACGATAGTAATAATAAATTACAATATAGCCAATATAGTCTGAATAGTCTGTAAAGGAAAAGGCTCAGAGGTGACTTATCAATGAAAACTTTTAGTACATGGCAATGTACCATTTAAAGTACAGTAAGTCATTCTCCACATCCACTTTAGAGAGAACAAAAGTTATGCCAAATTTTTTTCCCCACAAAAGATTTTCGGTCAACTATAGGGAAGAACTTCTGAGAGAAAGCACTGTTAACCCCTGGAATGGGCAACTGGCAGCAACATTATGAAACGCCATAGTCTGGGGGCACCAAAATGTGTGCCAGCATCAGCCCAACACCTCGCTGGGGGCTTAAGGCACGGTATGGCAATTTATAAGTAAGCCTTTCTGACGTTCCCAGTAACTAAATACCCGAGCAAGTCTGAATCTAATTCAGTTTTTCCAAATTTCATGTTCCTCTGGCCAAGAAAACAAGGATATACTCTCAAGTATCCAAAAGACAGTAGACTTACTACTGCTAGAAGGTAAATGGTCATTTAAGGTAACGCCATTTGATTCCAGAGAAAAAGGAGAAAAATATTGGGTCTTTTGTTTAAGAGCAGGAAAAGTCTTTTTAATTTAAGTAAAAACACAAAACTTGCCAAGATCTAGGAAAACAGATATATATCAAATCCTCTTATATGAAATACCTTTTCAAAAGGTACAGAAGAAATAATTTGGTAAAAAATAAAAGCAAAATAACTGAGACTAAACTTTTTTTTATTTTAAAAAGCTGATGCTATCCTCATGCAAAAGACCTTTAAATGACTTGAAAATTCACCATAAGCTAGTCTATTCACAGCTCAAAACCTGACACGGTCTGACATCAGAAATGTTAGAATGCCAAGTTCCTTTCAGAGCTTAGATCTATGTAATTTTTGCAAATTTATGGCATAGTCCTATCTTTAAATACAACTAGTGCCACTGGCCTTCTACCAAACAGGTATTTTGTCTACTTTGTTCTAAGCTCACCTTTCCATCTTTAACAGAACGGAAAAGAAGTATACCTGTGATTATTCAAACGATAAAAATTTTGAAAAAACAGAAAATCAGTGAAAATGCCCTCTAATTCTCTTTAACTCCAATCTTAAGTAGATAGTAAAGGCCAAGACAAAACTAGCACACACCTGCTGCTGTGGGTACTGCATTCCTCCCATGGCCCCTGGAGTCCGACCCTGGATGCCGAGAGGGTACCGCTGTGGGCCTGGGGGGCCATAGGAACCTCCTGGGTAGGGACTGCTCTGCTGAGGCTGAGAATGAGGGTTACTGCCCATCCCATACAACTGAGGTCTCTTCATCACCATTGGATCCATTGGGCTGCCCTGTGAAGAAATGAAAGAAAAAGTAGGTTTAGTAATTCATTATTTATTACGAAGACAGAAGTTTTTGTTACGTTAACATATGCATTAATAACACAATTATCCTTAATTTTGAAAATATCAAAAACAATGCCCTGACAAATGAAACCCCAGAACATTAAGAAAAACAGCTAGATAGATATGAGACATTGTATTTTTTACTTTTAGGAAGGTTTTAACAAATAAGAAGGATCCAGAATAAACAATATTTAAAAAGATTCTGCATCCTAAGCAGAGAGAAACATTTGCATCTAAAATTGTATTATGCATATAGGAAATGAGCACGACAGTTAATCTCACCCACCTCCTTTTAGCTTACTAGTAATAGGGGCAGAGGATACTGAGTGATTAGCAACACTTTCTGACTTCAAAGTATGCTTAAAACAATTTTATTTTAGACCTGAGTCTGCAAGTCCAAATCAAACATTAAAGCATCTGAGTGTCCATTAAAAGGTGAACGGACAGATTTTAGATATTACAAATGTCTAGAGTAAAATGTTCAAAGACCACTAGCATGTAGGAATAAGCACCCAGACTATGAGTCACAACCCACCTTCCCTATTAAGTAAGCATCTTACCAAACACAACCAGTTCAAAACCAGACTTTGAATTTTATTTTTGGTTTGGTGAGTCAGTCCATGAGCCTCAGGGGCCAAGGCCATATAGGATAGCCTCAGCAGGCCTCCATGTCTGGACACACCAAAGGAGCAGGGCAACAGTGAGGCAGGCCCTCACCCAGTGCTATGGAGGCCGGCAGCATTCACTCCTTCCCTCCTCCCTCCTTCCTTCCAGAACTACACACTGATCCCCACTGCATGCCAGAGGTAGGCACACAGGAACTCTGAGGAAGGCTTATGGATTATCAGGATGAATGGGAATAAGAGGTTCGAGGTGGGGAAGGACAGGACACAGAGAACCCTGAGGCAGAAGAAACGGCACAAAGCACAACGGCTCAAGAGAGACAACTGCCTGGTGTGTGGGAAGAAATAAAAGTAGTCTGGATCTAAGTGAAACAGGAATTTGCGGAGAATAGGCTGAAGCTGGCAGAAGCCAGGACACAGGTGAGCCTTACAGATCATTTTAAAGGCTTCAGATTGTCTCTTAAGGATGAACCACTTGGTGCTTTTACAGAGAGCTGTTGGAAGGATTGCTCTCTTGAGCAACCGGCTGGAAGCAGGTCAGGTTGCTGCAGTAGGCAGACGAGGCTGAGATCCCGAAATGGCAGGAGTGGTGGGAGAAAGCAAGCCTAGACTCGTGTCACATTTAGGAGGGAAATGCAGCAGAACTCAGAGACCAAGTGAGTGACAGAAGACAGGAGCCAGGCGTGGCTTGACAGACAACAGGAGAGCCACTGATACAGAGTGTGCAGGGGGAAGCCAGTAGACCCTATGCTAGGAGGGAGAGCCTTCAGTGTTCTATATGTGTAATTTGGGGTTCCGGAAGGAAATCCAGGTGAAAATACCCAGAAGGAAGAGACACATTGCGTCTGCAGCTTGGGGAATAAAGTCCGACTTAGAAAAATAGGAAGAGAAGTCAGCAGATAGAAGACACGTCTCCTGGAAGGCAGGGATTTTTCTGTCTTCTTCACTATTAAATCTCCAGGGAATAAGTCAAATAGTACACCTGGCACATAGTAAAAACGCTCAATAAATAGTAGATGAATTCATCAATAGGAAGCAATAAAACCCCAGAACTTAATCTAGGAAGAATATACGAAAAGAAAACAAACAGGTAGTGGACAGAGAAAGGAAAAAACAAGCCCACAAAGAAGTCAAAAGAATAGTCAGAAAATGTAGTTAGAGATTCTGAGAGTATGGTGTTACAGAAGAGAAGGGATTCAAGTGTAGCACCAGAACAGACATGGCTAACGCAGCCGAGGGGTCCAATAAGGTGAAGGTTAAAGGCTTTTGCTATTCTTGCCCAGGAGGTCACTGATGAGCTTGGCAAGAAGAGTCTCATTGCAGAGCTGAGGCAGCGGCTAGAAGAGGAGCGCAGAGGTGTGCAGGGGGCATGAAGAGGGAGCCAGCAGTGCAGACCACGAGGACCGCCAGCCTCCCTTACACTTGCACTCCCACCCTACGGCTGCACTGTGGTCTTTCGCCTTCTCCCTGCTTGGTTACCCTGGTGTTCGTTCTAAGGATCTGATGAATCCCCTCACCACACATTTATTAAGCACCTAGTATGTGCACAGCGCCTGGCACTGGAGGAGGAAAAGAACAAGCCTCACTGTTGTCCCAGAGATCCGCTGAAGGGGACAGACTTAACAGAGGTCACAGTGCAATGCAGCAGACATACTAAACTGACACAAGGAACAGTGAGAAGGGAGCATCTCACCAGGTGTGTCTATAGGAAATACCTGAGCTCAGTCTTGAGGGTTACAGGAATTGGCCGGGAACTGATCTAACCAGAATGAAATAAGCAGCGGACACAGGAGGAAACTGGAGGAAACCAGATGCTCTGCCCTGGGCCTCCACATCCTACGAGGAACTCAAAACTCACAATTTTATGGAATTTTATCTCTAATACTTTCACTAGCCAAAAAACAGTTTGGACTTAAAAATGAGAGAAATTGAATGACAGTATATTGTTTTGCTCAAACAATATACAGATGTTACACAACCTGTGCTGGCTTCACAATTAAATGTACAAACATATATGTCGACATATTTGTAATAAAACTAAAATCTAGGACTAAGAATTAGCTTTCTCAAAATCATTTAAATTAAAATTTATGCCTAAATTAAGCAAAATGTGATTATTCTCCAGATTTCCTTTCAAAAGATAAAACTTTCTACGGAAGTGTGAAAATGAAGGCTGCGCTGGTGATTTCAAAATCAGCTGCGTGCATGAATGGCCTCAGGAGAGGCTGAGTAAATGAAATTCAGGCTAAGTCTCCAATACGGGGCCCTGAGGCAGCCCTATCTTCACATCCAATCTGGATAGCCCAGGGCATAGGAAAGGTCTACTTATTTCACTTTAAATAATGCACAACCAAAACTGGCTTAATTAAAGCAGAAATTTTAAATGGGAAAATGATTGGAATGTCTGTGTTGTAATGCTATAGATAACAGCACAGCAAATTCATCTGATCAGTGACTATGATTGTTTTATATTATCTGTCTCATCATTACCATCAACTCTCACAGTCCTAGTTAAAATTCAGTTAATTTGCACCCATGTCAAAAATGTTAGCTTAACCCTGAGATTTCTGAACATGGAAAGCACGAAATACACAGGTTATCCGCATCTCTCGAAATACATCAAATATCCTTCAACGAGACTTGAGATAAGAAAACAGATACCTGTACGGTACAAATTATTTAATTTTAGCCTTCTCTCTTTATGGCCTATTCTTAAATATTCATCCACAATCCAAATTCCTCCAGCGGTGTGCTCTTGCTATTTTTGACATTAAATATGTACAACTGCAGTCTCTCAAGCCCTGCTTCTCACCACTATCTCCTTAAACCAAAATCAAATCGAATCTAAGACTTCCAGAAACCATAAAGGCCATGTTGCTCCTCATATTCACATCTAACCTGAAACAATTTTGTATTTTTTTATCATCTATCCTTCTATTAATACATTACCTGAGTATGACCAATTTCATTTCTCACATAAAATTTATGCTGTATCAGGGACATCCATCCACATTAAGAAGAGTCCTCAAATCCTTCTCTAAATGGGTGATTCCAGGCATGTCTGCCTTTCTAAATAGCAGCCCACAGCTGCTGCGGCGTGAGCTTCAATTCCACAAAGTCAGACAAGTGCTTTGAAGGCCACAACGTACACCACCATTTTCAAAGAGCCCTTAACCTAACTGGTCTGGTTTTAGTTACTCAGCTTCTAAGGCAATTTTATTACTTGATAAAACTTTCTTCCTCCTTATTCAAATAAGCTTTTGGATACAAAAGCGCTCTCTCTCTCTCTCTCTCTCTCCACACACACACACACACACACACACACACTCCCTTGCCAGGATCTCCTTTTGGGAAACTGCCACTGCCACCAACATCCTCCAATAGCCTCAGAAGGTTACCTACCCATCCTGGGACTATTAGGGAAGGAATACAATGTATATTTTTAAAATATGCATTTGTACAAAATTATAAGCATATTAGGTAGCACAGTTCAACTACAGTATATGTTAAACAGGCTTTCAGAAGCTGCTGGGAATCCGATTGCCCTTTTTAAGATTACCCAAATTAAATGACAACTTGCTTATATACTTTTAGCATACTTTACATGTATTATACAATGTATTCAAATCCTCCTTCACTGCCACTCTCTGAGTATGCCCACATGTGTTTTTACAGTAAAGTATCTAGGTATCTGCTCCTAAATATTACATCGAGTTAATGTTTATTAGAGGTTTCTTTATGAATACAATATTTCACTATTTTTTAGCCCAATTCTTTAAACCGCAAATTGGAGAAAAGCTTTGCAAAAAACCCACAGAAAGAACTATCACATCTTTATCTATATCATATCTACATGTGTGGATTAAGTGAGAGCTCACAGAAAGAAAAACTCTTTCCCATTTGAATCATTGTTTGGGAAAGTGGTCTCCTAGTAGTAACTAAAGAAAACTTTTGAAACCTGCTCCAACTCTAATACTCTCACCCAAATGGGGCAGGGGGCTATTTATTCGAATCTGTCTGTGGCCACAGGACATACCACACTGAAAGGAGACCACCTGGCCCAGCAGAGAAAGCAGGGGCCTCAGATTAACAGTGGTTCACAGCCTGTCCCACCACTCCCCACCACTATGTCGCCTTGGGTACACTGCTTGTCTTTTTGTTTTCTCATTCACTAAATGAGAGAAACGAAACCCACCTCACAATTATTGTGAACATCAAATTAGTTAGAGGTATTAATATAAAAGATCTCACAGTTCAGAAAAGCTCCTGCAGCACCTGGAGCCCAAGAACCACCTACTAATTGTTCAAAGAAGAAAAATTAAA